AGGACGAACCTGTGGAATCCCATCCGTGAGGCACACTGGAGGGTCACGTTCCCTCCTGAGGTCACAACAGGGCTGGGCAGGGCTGAGAGGCTGTGTTGGCCATGGGATCCTAAGAGAGGAGGAGGGGGTGATGTTAAATCAGGCTCAGACCCCCCCCACATTATCCCCAGACTGGGCTGTGAGAGGGAGACCCCTGAGAGCCCACCCCCTTCCTGAGGGCAGAGTCTGGGGCTGGGACTCTGAGTGGGCTCGCACCTGTCACCACCAGCTCCAGGGGGTCACTGTATTCTGACCAGTCATTTGGGCGTTCATAGTCACAGCAATATCTCCCTGCATATGCATCTGTCATGTATGTGATGTAGAAGTTGGCCTTGTCCCCGGGCTCCAGTGGCTTCTGTGTGTCCCAGGTCCATGAGTCCCCCTCTTTATGCAGGTGGTACTCCTGGGCCTCCAGGCTCCCCTGACACCAGATGGTTACAGGTGTCCCCCAGGGCATCACAGAGCTTGGCTCAGCCCAGATGGTGGGTTTGGGGAGGATCCCTGGTAGGAAACAGAGGCTGGATACAGACCTTCCCCATCCCCAGGTACCAGTTCAACCACAAACCCCCAGAAGTGCCCCCTGGGTCAGCCCAGAACTGCTGTTCTCCATCCCCAACTGCCTGGTGGGTGACCCCTGTCGCTAGTGAGGAGGTGGGACTGGGACCTTTGCGGACAGACTCACCTGCCTGTGCTTGCATTCTGGGGTCTACACTCAGCCCTGGAAGAGAGTCCCTGTGAGAGGTTTGCCCCGAATCCTAGCAGAACCCCTCCTCCCCATGAGCCTCCTGAGCCTGGGGTCTCTGACAGACCAGGGCTTGACTGTGGGGTGGCTTCCTCCCAGACTAAGGCCTCCCTTTCCCTCCTCAGATCTCACCGAGACAGAGCAGGGCCATGAAGGTGGGGGTCATGGTGTCTCATCTCTCTCACTCTAGCTGTGCAGAGGGTGAGACCACGGTGCCCACAGGACAGGCAGACATACAGGGTGTGGTTCTCAGAGGTAGTTGTCCTATCATGGGGTTGTCACGTACGCAGGATATGACAATAGGAAGGTGAACAACCCCTGCCCAGGGGCCTAGCCTGGCTCTGGTGTCCATGACGGTGCAGCGGGGTGGGGGGACCCTGGGGCTCCCTGTGATGCCCAATCAGATGAGGAGACCAGGGCAGGTCCTTCTCTCCCAGAGCTTCCCCCATGGGTCTCCTTCATCCCCACAACCCTGGTCCTCACCATAGATGGGTCCCCAGACTCAGAGCTGCTGCAGAGGACATGGGTTCCTGCCATGCTGGGGAGCTCATGTCAGAGCAGACACTCGTGTGATGTCTCTGAATGGCTCAAGTCGAGGTCACGGTGGCAATGAGCCCAGAGGAGAAATAGACGCAAATAGGGAAGGGAACACAGATCCTCTCTTGGCCCTGGAGTGTGGGCTCTCTTTCTGTCACAGCCTCCAAGGACTTCTCTATTTTCCTGTGACATGGTCCATACCCCATTCATGGGCACATGCCTGTGTGAGTCCCTCTTGGCTCCTCAGTGCCAGGGGCAGAGACGTCTTCTCCACCGTGGGGTCTTGCCTGTAAGCTATAGGGAACAATACTTGGGTGAGTGCTCTGATATGAGAGACAAAGCTGATTCTCATGTCATTACTACTCCAGTGTCCACTGCCCAGGTGACCATGAGCACAGTGACCTGGTCTGTAGCATGCTATCCTGACTCTACTCCTCAGAGTGGTTGTGAGGTCAGTGGGACCTAGATTGTGGATGGGATGAATCATGTTAGATTCCTGACCTGATTAAGAGGGGTGTGGTTAAGACCGAAGAGGTCCATGTGTCAGACCCCACAGTCAGGTTAGATCAGTGATCATCGTGAGAAGTCCCAGGGATGACTGGCCGAGAAAGGTGGGAATTAAGAAAAACAAGAGAGAGAAAGCTGGGATCAGGAGTTCTCCACAGGCTGATGACCCAGCAGAGCCCCAACATGCCTAAGAGACTTTATTTTATACTTTAATAAGAAGAATGCTTATTAGGGAGATTGAGGTTGGAGGACCACAAGTCCCAGGTGACCACCTTTCTTCAAAGCAAGAGACTTTTCTCAAGCATATTTACAGAGGAGCTCAAGGTCTGTGTCAGCATGACTGCGAGAGCTAATGTGATCCCAATCAAGTATGGAATGAACTGCAGGGATTGCAAGAGCTAGTCCTTGGCAAGACTCCCGAGACTGCCAGGACCCTGTCAGCTTGCAGTTAGCTCTCCACATCCTTGAGAGACCCCATGTGTCTTAACACCAAGAAATGCTATTTATAATGTTTCTGAAATTATTAGAAACAGGTATTTGCAGGAAATGAGAAATAAAAGTTTCTGAAATTGACATGGACCACAATAGAAACGGAAGTGAAAGCTGAGTGACCGCTGGTGCCTGGGGTCAAGTTGGGAGTCGTCAAATTTTATTTTTGCCTCTGTGTGACCAGAACAGGAGTCCACATTATCACAGGCACGAAGGGCATCCAGTGTCTCACTGACTGTGGAAGCAGTGTGACCCTTCTACCATGTGTGGGGTGGGTTCTGGCATGTCTATGCCCATTGACCCAGCCCAGACATCAGCACTGAGCCATGTCCCCTCTGTGTGTGTGTGTGTGGAAGAGTTTTGCCCAGTGAAACCCTCATAGGCAGCTGTCCCTGTGTGAGTGTGTGGCTCCCGTGGGAGTCATCCCTGCCAGACACATCCCTGCTCAGATGCTAAGTTGGGACAGTGGATGCCAGAGGTCAGTGGGGCTGTAACCACCCAGCCCTTACAGTCCTGAGCTTCAGGACAGCCCTGGAAGCAATTGTCTCTGGAACTCAGGGGTGTAGGAGGTGTTGTCCAACAGGAATGGACATCAGAGAGTGACCCCAAGGTGATAAGGAGTGCTCAGGAAGACTGTGTGCAGACCCGTCAATCATAGCCCAGGACATGAAACGGCAGGAATATAGGAAACTCATTTTATGTTAAAAGTGTGAACTACTGATAGATTGGAGCACATCGAGTGTTTGCAGCAATAATGAAGTTATATTATGAAAGAACATAGAAATCTGGAAATGAATTAATTCAATTCTCTGTAGGTAAAAAAATAAAAGCAAAAACTTAACGTGAGTAATCATTCCATCTGTGAGAAGATGCAGCTGAAAGGCAGAACACGAAATTGGAAGTCAACGCTGAGGATGCTTTGTCCGATGACAGACAGAGAGACTGAAATGAGAACATGCAGATACCCAGGGAACGGGGGGCCGGTGGATACTGTGAGTCTGGAAGGAGAGCAGCGAGGAAGGTGTGAGGCAACAGTCCGAGGGGCCAGTGGTCAGGTGTTGCAAAGAGACACAGACAGAGCAGGAGGCTGCTGGTATGCATGGATGTGTCCCTCAGATCTGTGTCTCCGTGTCTCCCGATAAAGCAAAGGAAATTGACGGGAGCTGAGTTTTAAGGAGAAGAAAAAAGCAGAGAGATCGGGATATGCTCTTTTACGGAATCATGAATGAGGGATGCTTTACTCGCCCAGGGGAGCTTGAAAGGACAAAGGTAAAAGTGTTGGCAGGGCCCACATCCTCAAGCACAAAGAGACAGGGACTTCATGAAGCCTTGGGCTTCATCTCTGTGAGGGAGGAGGAGAGCCCGTCAGCAGCAGTGTTCCCAGCTCCTCATCATTGGGTCCTCTCCTGTACTTGGAACAAGGCAATGTTTTCTTTCTTTTTCTTTTTCTTTTTTTAATCTGGGAAATCAAAGAAATTTTTATTTATTATTTTTTATTGTTTTTTAACATCTGAATTAAATTTTATTTTATTAGTGTTCCAAGATTCATTGTTTATGCAACACACCCATTGTTCCATGCAATACCTGCCTTCCTTAATACCCACCACCAGGCTCCCCCAACGTCCCCTTCATTACAAAACCCTCAGCTTTGTACAGTCAGAGTCTACAGTCTCTCATGGTTCGTCTCCCCCTCCGATTTCCTTCAATTCACTTTTCCTTTTCCTACTCCTAATGTCCTCCATGTTATTCCTTATGCTCCACAAGTAAGTGAAACTCTGCTGGTTCTTTTCTAGAAAGCATGTGGATGGCTCTTACTTTTTTATTCAATCTGATACCCTGTGTCTTTTGATTGGAACATTAAGCCCATTTATTTTCAGAGTCACTATTAAAAGAAGATGTGGTCCATATATACAATGGAATGGGTGAGCCTGGTGATGGGTATTCAGCAGGGCACAGATTGCAGGGAGCACTGGGTGTTGTACGAAAACAGTGAGTCATGGAACACTGCATCAGAAACTAATGATGTACTGTGTGGTTATGAAAAAACAAAAAAAATCTGCATGAGATTATCAGATTTACAAATCTATTCATAAGGTGTGGTGAGTGCACAAAATTAATTTTTTTACACTTAAAATGCTTGCTCAAATGTATATAATTATGGAGTATTTCATATCTTATGTTATCTAAACATGCAAAGAAACAGGCATAAGCCAAAATCACAACTACCACTTCCCGACGGTGAACAGGAGAAGAACGAGGCACAAACAAATCCGCTTCCAGAGAGCGGGAGCAGGGGTCCACAGGTGCATAGACCGCAACCCAGAGCAACTCTTCAGTCCCATATTTATTAGCTATGAGATAACAATAAAAGGAGGAAGCAGATTATAGATAAACGAGATATGCCTGTTCAAGCACTATAGGATTTGGGGTTGAGTAAAGGCATTTAAAGGAATCATCTAATTAACTACAGGTGATCTCCCGAGAAGGGAAGATAACAGAAGTTCCGACCTGAGCAGGTGGGCGATCCCAGCTGCTCCGCTGGAAGGATGTGTATCATCCTCTCCTCAGGGGCCCCTGCAGGTCCACGATCAAGCATGTGTGGTCAGTACATTGTTCTGAGGGACGGTTATACACAACTTTATCTTCATTCATACATTCATTTACTTATTTATTTATTTTATAGATTCTATTTATTTATTTTTGAGAGAGAGAGACAGAAAGAGAGAGACAGAGAGCGAACACAAACGGGAAGGAGGGACAGAGGGAGAAGCAGATTCCCCACTGAGCAGGCATCCCGCAACACAGGACTCCATCCAGGACCCTGGGATCATGACCTGAGCCCAAGGCAGATGCCTCACAGAATGAAATTCAAAGGCGCACAAATCACAGCTAAAAAAGAAAAAAAAGGAAAACCCATTTATTCCTTGCAGTCAGTGTAGCAGCTCCCACCTGACTTCACCTCAAACACCCCTGAGCTCACTCAAACTGATGGTGTTTCTGGAAGATTCTACCATGTGTTGCCACATGAGGACAGAACTCTATGAGTCCAAGAGAGTTCAGGGAATGGTTTTGGATTCATCTGTTCCAAAGCAGACCTAATTTCACCCACTTATTTACTTATGAAAACAATCTGTGTTTTGGGCTGAAGGGACAGAGGACAATAGCACCCATCAGGGAAGGTGGAAATGGAAAGTGAAGGAAAATGTATCCCATGAAGGTGGACCAGAGCTGCCGCTGTAGGAACGTATGAACCAGGCATGCTGTGTGGGATGAACCCTCAAGTCACAGGGATGAGGAAAGAGAGGAGCAGTCAAGAATGTCCAGCAATGCAGGAGGGAAAGCACCACAGGTCACGAGGGACCAGTCCCGGACAGGGAGCAGCCCAGACATGTCCTGCGCCTGAACCATGCTTCCCCTTGATGTTGTCAGCAGACAGATCAGCGAGGGTGAGCTGCAGGCTTTCCTCGAGATCCCTCTGGGCACCTGGATGCATGTCCACAGCTCTGCCACACGGAATGGTGGCTTTGCTCCCCCTCACGTTTAGCTCCTGGCTGTGTCTGGGGTCCTTCTCTGGCTGTGCTGAGCCTCTAGCGGCAGAATCCCAAGGACCACCAGGATCAAGACAGCCACGCC